ATAAAAGGAGATCAGGTTGGTCAGACAGGACCTGCCCTTCCTAAACCTGTGCTGGCTGGGTCTGATCCCTTGTCCATCCTGTAGGTGCCGTGTGATTGCACTTAGGATGATCTGCCCCATAACCTTGCCAGGCACTGAGGTCAGGCTGACGGGCCTGTAGTTTCCCCGGTCCTCCTTCCGGCCCTTTTTGCAGATGGGCGTGACATTCACCAACTTCCAGTCATCTGGGACCTCCCCAGTGAGCCAGCCCTGCCACAAATATGGTCTGTATTCAAACTGGCAATTTCATTGAAGAATCATATTGTCCTATTTCAAATAACCACCAAGCAGAGATACTACATTTTAACATGTCCCCTTCTCTGCTAACAGTTCATTAATTGAAAGAATTGAAGAGAACAGAAAAAGAAATTATGTTATTTGGTTTCAAGAGGATAAAAAATTTCTCAGAGGGTTAAGGTATTATTAAATTAATTGTACATGCTTGCCTCTGGGATTAAAGAATGCATTTGAAATACAAAAGGCTAAACATGTTTTTTCATAATTAAGAAGAAAGTTATGAATCCTTCCCTTTTAATTCTGATTTCCTCACTTATGCTGACTTTCCACTACAAATCTTTCTGCTAAATACTCCTAAGAAAACCTCCAGGTCAATTAAATAATTGATGACAGTTTCTAAAAACTGGTTTGTAAGATGTTGACAGTCTCTGATTACTGGTCATTTTCACTTGTCAATATAAATTTAATTTTCAAGCAATACTTTTGAAGCTGTTAGACAAAAGGGTAAAGTCAAGTCACCCTACTTGCAAAGTGCAACTTTGATTTTATTTTGTGCAGGAACATCCTCTCTAAAACCCTGCATGCCCAGATGTCCTTGCTTAGTCCTGTAAGTCATGTAGACTAGAGATACAAGTACAAACCTATGTGAAGGTGAAAATCACAAAGTTGCATAGTTTAACTGGCTTTAATTTAATGAATGATAAAAGAATGTAGGAACTTTATAGTAAGGCTTTACTACCATTCATGGCTCAAAATTACTATAATTAAATGTGTTTATGCAATATTTGAAATGAAATAAAAAAGTTTAATGGAAATTAAACCAATTAGTCACTACTGAGGTTGAAAAAGTGAAGATGCTGACAACACTTCTTCTGTCTCAGCACATCCATTGGAAAATATTCCCTCTGCAAAGGTCATAAATGAACATGGTAACAATGACATGGAGGTGAATTAAGACATCCCTAGGCAGACAGGATGAGATCTTTTATTGACATTGTTTACAGCACGCTTGCTTTTAAAAATCCCCAAACCAAATTTTTTCCACACTTCTACCAGTTTTGTCAGCTAACTCCCATGTAAATCAAGCCTCTGTCCCAGAGCAGTGTTGAGAGTGGACACCACACCCTTCAACTCTGTTAAAGGTTTATGGTGATTTGGTTTTTTCCTCCGTACCTCTATCTCCTTCTGTGGCTGGTGAAAACAACATAATTATTACTGGCTTCACCTCTGATCAACCTGAAAACTTAAAACCATATGCCACTGCCTCAAAAGATAGGATTGCTTGTTTTGCTCTAGTACCATATACAGTCTGACTAAAGTGAAAAAAATTATTCACTCCCTTGAAACAAACTGTATTTGTTCTTCACTGGATGTCATTTTTATGGCACTAACAAACAAATCTGAGCAAATACTACTCTGATAACACTTCTGCTCTCCTCCCAGTAGAGCACATGAATACTTTTGTTAACTGGTCATTTAGTAACTGTTAAATTTTAAATGTTTCATATTCTTTCAAATTTTAGAAGCTGGTTTCCAGTCAAATAAAAGCTGGGTGAATCAATATCCCAATAATAAATTTTTATGGGTTTTTATAATCAGTCCATGTATTTTTAATAGCTGGCTATTAAAAGCTTTGAGCATGTGTTGTCAATGTCACAAATGGGAACAAACATGTTCAAAAAACCGTAAGTACAATAATCAAGTAGAACTAAGCATACATGAAATCCCCCACAAAAAAACCCAGGAAGTCAGATTTTTGGGGCAGTGAGGTCAGTATTTCCCCTTGGGTCTTTTCTATATCTCTGTAATGCACACCCGACCTCTACAAAACTGATCCTCAACCCTACACTGATGTGAATTAGGAATCAAAGTTGGGTAACAAATTTTTCACATATTAGGGCTCCTACTACCCTTTTATTTTTCAGTAGATTTGAAACTGTGTGCATTTAAGAAAAGAGCAGGTCATTTCCAAAAATCATGTCTGAACGTGACTCTGAGAGTGTGCTAGAAAAGCCCAAGCACACACTGGTGCAATTGGCATGTCCACATGGTCCCAAGCCCTTCTGCCTGCACTCTCCAGGTGTCTGCCATGGCCCATGTCTGCTACCAGAGCTGACTGGGCTCACTGTGGTCGAGCCAGCCCCTACCTTTAGAAAGAAATAGGTACTACTCACTTGGCTACACGGCTTGTACCCCTTCAGCTAGGCTTGATCACAAACATCAGTGTAAATTCTGTCTTTCTTGCACACAACTTTTCAGTTTGGCAGGATGTTAGGGAGATAAACCAGTGGCAGGAACTGCACGTTGCATGTAGGGGAAGGAGAAAAGGTGGCAAGGGAACATAACATTTGCAAGAGGAATAGAAGAAGAAAAAAACAGCCCGGACTGTGAAAAATCAGTTTTAAATTAAAAGCAATAATCAGTACCAGTACAATAAGCAATGCAGTTACCCTTGCACAGCTTGAATGCATGAACTAAATGACTGAATGAATTGCAGATTAATCAAATAATATTCACAGAATTAAAAAGGGTAAGCAATTCCACAATAAAGTACTCTAAAAAGCAGTTAAGTTTCTTCTGAGCAATATCTAGAAGTGTGCTTTGGTTGTAAATGAGGGCAGTTAGGCAAGGAAAGAAGAAGGTTGTTGCTTGCACTTGAATGACTAATAAGTATCCTCATTTCATTGCATGTCTACTTACAGTGATTAAAATTCAATCAAAATGTCATATGCCCTCGCCTCCTAAAACACATCTCATTTTATTTTCACATCTGGTATATGCTATGTGTATTATCTAAAAAGAGCAGAAAGATAGCTGAAGAATGCTGTCCAATTGCAACATGATGGGATTAATTCCCAGAATAATCATCAATCTTATTCTAAATAGCCACATAAAATGAGATCCAGCAGACTTTCTCCTTCCTACATTCTTGCTGTACCGAACAGTTTTTCAATTTGTAGATCTAAAAACATTCCCAAGACTCCATTAATCTTACACATTTACCTGTGCATCAGAGGTATCCTTGAGCTCTTCTAGTCCTCTTATTTCTTGACTGCTGTTTTCCTCATTTTGACAGATAGCTAAAATAAGAAAGAATACATTGGAAGCAGGCAGATTTAAATCATAAGAAGCAGCAAAGCAGCATGGCCCAGTTTAGATCAAAGAGGGTGACCATTCAAGAAACCTTGTTCAATCTTCAGCATTCTAGTTAACTCCTTGAGTGATTTTGGACAGATCCTGTTAAGGTGCACTTTATTGGGTTTAGACAAATGCTAAATACAGTATACTCTATTTTTCCCCAGGCAGTAAAATCTAGCACTAAATAGTTATATTCATGCTTCTGTTAGTCCTGATAAAACTATGACATTTAAGGAAACTCCACTTTTCCATACATTGTAACAAGACCTCATGACTCATAAGGAATAAAAAAATCAGGTCTCCCTTTACTTCCATTATATTGCACAACATCAATTCAGACTAAACAAAATAAGCAGATTTATCCCTCACCTCAAACTTGGAAAATTCTTTGTAAGCAAAGTGATCTCAATCTCAACAAACACCACAACTACCCATGAGAGTCATCTCCAGAAATAAATGGTAGCAGAAGATGTTCTATTGAAAGTTCTTTGCTGCTGGCATAATAGGAGAAACCAGTAACCTCGCTTAATTAACATAACTTAAACCACTTAACATCAGCAAGTTTTGCCAGACTTTAAAAAAAAAGTTTTTTATCAAACTTGTAATCCCCAGAAGGGTCAAAACCAGACTGAGGAGTTCACCTAGCTAGAAAAACAAGGAACCTCTTTTGAAGGGACCACTCAGTCTTCTGTATTGCAAACAGCTGCATCTATCCCATTTTTGCTACCTACATCCCATGATACCCTTTCAGTCAACACACCCACATGCTGTATTTTGTGGGACATTAAGCCCTCAGACACTCTGAAATGTGACATGTGGTAGGTTAGGAGTGTAAGAGCCGATGAAACACATGAAAAGCAACTTTATTTTACACTGTACTCATTTACTTAGAAAAACCATACTTAAATACTGTCAATCTTGAGTACACATCAAATGATTTCCTGGTGTAGCCACAGCAGTTGTGACACCAAAAGTGTCCTTGAAGTGGTAGAGCCGCCAAATCCACTTCCTAAAAAAACACCAGGCTCATGGCTTTGAGGGATGAGTAGGAAGATTGAGCTAGTATGTCTCCTCCTGCCTATCTCCTCTCTCCTTCACCCCTACACACCTGAGGTGGTTGTCACTGTGTGTGAACAGCCACAGCCCACAGCACAGTGTTTTCAGACAAGGATCACGAGTGGGGTTTTGCCTTAAAACTATGTCTGCGAGCTGAGGCAGCCCAGGATTTGATTGATGAACAAATCAGCTCTTGAGGGAGCAGGAGAAGGGCTGGCAGGTAGCAGTGTTTCCTTGACCAGGCACCCTCAGCTACACTCTTCTAAACCCTCAGACTGAATCTTTAGACATGCAAACAGCTTACCATGGCCTAGATAATACATGTAAGGTGAACCTTGAGGTCCAGTTTGGTGTGTCTGCTTGGGTGCTCTGGGGCTGCTGCAGACAAAAACCAGCCTAACATTTACGCAGTATCCAGCAACTTAGAAGAAAAGTAACTTTGGAGTGTTCTTGACCTCCAAAATAAAGCATATGGATTTATTTTCTTTTTCTGTGGATTTCTGCTGATACTGCAATGCCATATAGGATATAATTTTTCTTTCTTCCCCCACAGTTATGCTGTCCAAAAAAAAAAAAGTAATAAAAATGTAATTATAAAAGGGTAAATAAGTAATTTTGTCAATACAGTTTATTCCATGCAGGGATCTTTTTAAATCCATTATCAAAGGAAAACAGAGCTCTGATATAAATCTTCACCAGTGGGTTTGCACATATCACTTTACCAGCTAACCTCTGAAATTCAAGGTGGTTGTTGAAAACACAGGGTCAGACTACAGCTATAACAGAAAGCTCGTATAATGGGTATTAGATCCCAGAAGCATTTAAAGTTAGGCAAAATCAAAATGTGCTTGAGATGTTGTGGCATATCCGTGCCCCAGTATGAGAGATAAAATACGGGTTTTTATATATAGGTGTATCATGGAGTTGTAAGATATCCAAGTTCCAAATGGGACTGGGTGTCAGGGTCTTTTTCAGCCAGATAAGGGAAATATAAAAGTTCCTAAAAATTAAAATCTTTCAGGGTCATGTGGAAATTTTGTACACAGGGGTTTCTTCTCTCTCTTTGGGCTAAGAACAAAGGAAGATCCATCATTTTTGACAGAGCATGCCTTGCAGCCAATCGGAAGGAAGGGAAAGTCCCTTTTCAGAGAAAAGAAACCTTTTTAGGCAAAAATGAATATATTAAACTTATCTGAAAAGGGTGGGATTTTGAGAAACTATAAAATGTATGGAATTTAAACCCAAAGGGTCTTTTTCCCCAGAAACTCGGAGAGAGAAAGATCCAGCACACTGAATAAATCCTTTCCTTCATGAGTTTATGCCATCTTTCTAAATTTAAAAGAGGAATTTTTTCTCACACCAGCTTGGAAAAGGAACAACCTAATGACACAATAACTAGTGGGATGGCCTGAACAGTCATGTGTGGCCCCTGCTTTCCTAGTGCAGGTCAGGGTTTCCAAAGGCAACATGCTCCATCCAACCAGGGTAGGGGCTCTGTGCACTCCCTTCCCTTGTAACCCACCTCCCAGCCATCCTCCCCAAGAGCTACCTCATCCTCTTGCACACTCCCACATGTGCATGACCCTGTTCTACCCACTGACACTGCGAGAAATACAAAGTGTTCAAGACATCCCTTTGCTGAATGCTAGTCAGAACAACCTGCATGAGAGAGGAATGTTGCAATGCCAGAAGGCACTAACAAAAGCTAAAAATTGGTTGGTTGAGCAATTGCTCTAAATGTTAAGTCTGTGGCTACATTAGCAGGAACACATTTCCCCAGCTCTCCTTTCAATTTTCTGATTTCTCCTAAAATCAATTTGCTGTAGCCATGATGGGCAAAATATCCCCACAGACTCTGGCTATTAATCACAGCATTTAAAGGAGTGGCACCTTGCTAGTAACAAGACCAGCATCCAGGTTTAAGTGATTTACATTGATCCAGCCAGCTTTTCCAACAAGGTTGAGCAGATGGGCGCTCTGCAAACAGCTGTGCCAGGGGAAAAGGTTAGTGGCTGCCAATTGGCTTCTTGCCACAGGCCTCTGTTACAAGTGTCCCCTTCCCTGCCCAGGGCCAATGCAAACACCCCAGAATATCTTCGACCAAAGTAAACAGGCAGACATTCAAGGAGCAGCACCGTGCTGAGGGGAAGGTGGTATCTCAAAGGGGAGCTAATGACAAGAATGACAAGCAGCAAACACCCAGAATTGAGGGCAGTAATAGCTCTTACCCGGCACAAAGGGAAAGAGGGTACATGTTCACGACCCCCAGTGAACAAAGGTATCTTTGGGTGTTGAACAATTTTAGCATGAGCAATTTTAAAGATGAAGAGAAAATTACCCCAGTTTAGGGTGTACCCTAAGAGAATACCTTAAAAAAAAAAGAAATAATGGTTTATATCACCAATTTAATAGCTCGATTCTAAAAAACCTGAAGAAGTTCCTAATCCAGCTTTCTTAACCCAGCTCTCCTTGGCTTCAATGTTGTTTAGACTGTGTAAGGAATGTAGAAAAGAATCAGTAAATATTTTCTTAAAGGAAAGAAAAAAGTCCCAGACGTCACACTGATGTCCTTGCAGCTCTCTTGGGAAAGTGGGAGCACTTGGTGTCTTTCTTATGAAATTTCCATTGCAAACTTGATTTTTGTGACATCCTTGCCTCTTATCCAAACCCATAAGAACCAGCCACAATTGAACCATTTAACTACACCCAGAGAGCAATACTCAAGGAGTCACACCACTTCACACTTTTTTTCCATCATAAGAACACGGTCCCTTGAAGGCTGAAGTGGCCACACCAACAAGCAACAACCCTTAATTATATTCTCTTGGCTTCTGTAGGAAAAGCTTCTTATACGCTTAATCTATAAAATAGGAAGAACACATTCCCTGAAATATTCTGGTGTATTTAGAAATTTATGGTACTGCATGAGAAATTGACTGCAGTATTTCTATACCCGTTGTGCCTCCTAACCCCATAACAACTCATAGACACCCCTTGAGTTGGCCCAGGTGCTGCCCTCACAGGCTATTGTGCATGCAACACAAGTTCTGTCATAAAATACAAGAATTCAAGGATAATTTCCCACTTACTCTTAGCTGGCCATTTATTGTTTTAATAAAAAAGTTCTGCCATCGCAAATTCAAGCATAGGAAAAGTGAGCGGAAACTTAGGGTGGGATGGGAAAGTATTTCTCAGGCAAGTGTTGATTCTGGAACTGTTCATACAAAAAACTTGTGAACTTTGGAGCTGAGCCAAACGTTTCCTTCTCTGCCAGCATAAATCCAGCTTTGCTCCCTGATACAAACATCCCAGCATGTTTTACAAAGCAGCAGCAACAGGGAAAGGCAAAGATGGTTTACCCTGGTCTATATGTATCTATTAAATGTTATGTTTGGGTTCAGGCTTGAGACCAGAGACAGGAAAAAAAATGCAAACAAATAGAGTGACCAATTCCCTTTCTACCTGCAGCATTTCTCCTTCTTTGGAAGAAAGGTCACCATGTAAGAAAGAAAAAGATGTCGAATGAGCAACAGCTTGCTAATGTGCAGTTCAAATGTATCCTTTTGCAAATCAGCCAAGGGAATTCAGGATGTTGACTTTTTAAGGTCACTTAAGGATCACCAGGGCCATCATCCAATCTAAGTTCCTTGTGCCCCCACAGACCAGAGATGAGATTTTGCTAGCAGATTCTTCTGTAAACTAATGTTGGAACAGAGAGTTCTTCTGGGGGAGAGCCTTATCCTTTCGTAATCCCATTTCATCTCAATAAATCAGCAGAAAAAAATAACGAAGAAATAAGAAACAAAAGTAAATCATTTTATACCAGCTATATCAGCAGAATCAGCCATCACCTGGGAGTGTTAAAGGAAAGGGAAAGTAACCATTG